AGCGCCTCTTCTCGAGGGACGTCCGGGAGCTCGCCAAGGAGACGATGACGCACGTGTGCGGAGAGAGCTGCTACAAGTACTCGGGCAACAAGACCACGAAGATCTGCCGCCACGGCTTCTACTACATCGTCACGCTTGCGGATTGGCGCAGGCGCAGGCGAGGGAAGCCTCTGCGGAACGCCATGTTCGCGGTGCGATCCTCGACGCACGGCATGCAGGGTCGTCTGTTGCACTTCCAGCTCCACCCGTCTGAGTGCATTACCAACTACGCCGGCGCCGCGGCTGGACGCTTCAACCTGGATGCGCAGGACCTCCGACGAGTCAGCGACCCCAAAGCGAGGTTGGACGAGGGCGAGGTGCTCCCGCACGTCGGCTCGCAACCCAAGCTGGGGTACATGGGCACGTGCGAGCTGGGCGATGCCGACGCTTACGTCAACCGCCCGGAGGTTCCGGAGAAGCCGCTCGCGTGGACGGACGACTGCTCGCCGGAGGAGTGGCGCGACATTATGCTGCAGTGCCAGACGGAGGACGCGGAGGGCGAGGACGCGGATGACGTGGACGCCGCGGACACCTTCGCGGACCAGCTGGAACTGGATGCCCAGGCAGCGTTCAGCGACGGCCTGAACACGGGCTTCTACATCAACTCCTACACGACGAAGCAGTGCCCCAGCATGGAGGGCGTCCTCGTGGAGATGCGGCGCGGCCTGGAGCGGCTGCAAGCGCAGAGACAGGCGCAGCAGGACAAGATGAAGCTGGAGCTGCAGCAGCGAGGAGACGACCCCGAGAAGACTCTGTCCGCCGCCGACCGGAGAGCGCTCGGGGGTAAGTCCAAGTTCGGGGAGACGCTGGATCTGGTGAAGAATCTGTCCGCATCGTACCGCCGATGCTACTGGAAGAGCGGGCCAGAGATGCTGTTCCCGATCTTCTACGGCCACCTCACCTACGCGCCCCACCGCTGCTGGGCGATCTTCATCAAGAAGGGCGTCTTCCTGGCGGCGGGGGCGTGGCGACGCGAGCACGGGCGCTCTCTCCGGCACAAGGCCAAGCAGGACGGGGGCCGCGCCCCGGTGCAGTACCTCGGGCGCGGCGTCGACCCGTACACTCTCGAGGGGTGGCGCGAGGAAAAGGACGACGACGGGCAGGCGGTGTACGTGAGCCCGGAAGGCCAGCGCTTCCCGGATATCCTGACGGCCTACGAGCACGACGTCGCGACCAAGGCGGCGCGCGACGCGCCCGATCATCGCCAGGTGGTGTCGTTCCTGGCGAAGTTCATGCAGGACATGGGCTGCGAGAGCGAGGAGGCCCCGAAGACGGGGGACGGCTTCCGCATCGTGAGGACCACGAGCACTCTGGACGACTGGCTGCACCGCGGCGACGACCCGGTCCTCAAGCACATGAGTTTGCAGGTGTACGCCATGCGGGTCTACCGCTGCGAGAAGCCCGACGGCCTGTGGCGAGACAAGACCCGCGCGCAGCACCTGGACTTCGACTTCGCGCCGCACTACGCGCTGTACGCGACCCACAAGCAGCGCCTGGCCCCCGAGCTCCGCGCGCCCCTCTTCGAGGGCTTCACCATGCCGACGATGAACAAAGACTGCGAGACAGCATGCTTGTACAAGCAGTTGCTCCTGAGGCCGTTGGAGGTGGAGAACTCGGAGACGCCGGAGGACGAGCGCATGCTGCGGGCGTTCGCGCCCCTGATGGAGGCCCCCGGCGCGCCCCGTGACATGAATGTGCGCGGGTCAACCTGTTTCGCGCGATCTTGGGCGCACTACGAGGCTCAGGCGGACGCGGAGGCCCGCGCCGCCGCGGCCCGCTTCCTCGCGCGGCACGAGTGGCCCTCGATCTGGGAGACACAGGAGGTGCAGGAGGAATTCTTCGCGCTGCACCAGGCGCGAGCGGAGGGTAAGGACGCGGAGGGCGACTCGCTGGACCCCGCCCACTGCCCCGACAGAGAGAAACCCAGGGCGACGGTGCACCAGTACGTCTCCATGATAGCCACGCAGGTGGCGCCCAACCTCGAGGGAATCGCCCTGGCGCGCGAGGAGAAGAAACCCCGGCAGTACCAGAGCGACGCAGCAGTGCAGAGCGCGTACCTCAAGGCGACCACCGGTGGAGGTGCCGGTCAGGACGAGGGCGCCGAGGCGGGCGAGGGCGTGGAGCACCCGGGCGCGCCTCCCAAGCGTGTCGGAGCACACTTCCAGCCGGTCCCGACGCGGGGCATCGACGGGGAGCAGGACATGGCGGACGTGCTGAACTTCGCGCACCGTAAGCGCCTCACGAGGTTGGCCAAGGAGCTCCTCGCGCTCCCGTGCATGTCCGAGGCGGCCCGCGAGGGCGCGGGTGCGCCCGAGCCGACGGAGGCCGCGACTGCTCCCGCGCCCGCGGCCGGGTACCGACCGCTGGTGACCGCGGCGCGCGAGGAGAGACACGCCTGGGGAAACCTGCACGACGAACGCCTCCAGGACAATCGCGACGAGGAAGATGCAGGCGCTCCGGACGGCGAGGACGCGGGCGCAGGCGGCCTGGGCGGCGACCCCGCTGCGGCCAGTTTTGCCAGCAGCGTGTACTCAACGCCCAGCGCGTACATCGCCGCCCTGGTCGCTGGGTTGCCGGAGAACGAGAGACTCACGCGGGACCAGACGCTCTTCGTCGCCAAGTTCGCCAAGGCCTGCGACGACGCCTGGGAGGACGACGTGCAGAAGAAGCCCTGGAGCGAGAGAAAAGTGACGCACTTGCTCCTGTTGGGCCAGGGCGGCTCGGGGAAGACGCACGTGGTGCAGAAGATCGTCTTCCCAGTGGTGGAGTATTTGTGGCCCTCGTCGGCGCAGGACAAGGGCGCCATGATGGTCGTGGCCTTCTCGAACGCGCAGGCGAAGAACATCTCCACGGAGACGGTGAAGGCCAGAACGCTGCACAACGCCTGTGCCCTGCGAGTCCAGAAGTACATCAACGCGAAGATGAGACCGGGGAGCATGCAGAAGAGATTGCAGTGGTTGTGGGAGCACGTCCGCGTCCTGGTCATCGAGGAGGTGAGCATGGTGGCAGCTGCTCTGTACAACGCTCTGGACCTCCGCGCCTGCCACGGGCGCAGTGACACGCACGACGTGCAGGAGTCCACCTACAAGAGGCCGCACCACCACTTCGGCCGCGTCCCCATCGTGTTGCACCTCGGGGATTTCCTGCAGCTGAAGCCCACCGGCAGCATCGGGCTCCTGACGGACGTGAACGAGCTCCTGGACGACGGGTCGTACAAGTACGCGGAGCCGCCGACGGTGGAGATCCAGCACGCCATCAGGGTATTCTCTCAGATCCCCTGCGTCTTCGAGCTGAAGGGCACGAAGCGCTTCGAGCCGGGGGACCCTCTGATCGCGTTCTTGGGCTGCATGCGCGAGGGCAAGCGCTTCCCACCAGAGGTCTGGTCTGCCTGGGAGAAGACGTTGGCCTCTGACAACCACGGCGTCCTGGACCCTCGGCACCAGCACGAGAACTTTCGGCTCGGCTACGGCATGGGCATCTACTGGGAGACGCTGGCGAGGTGGATCAACACGCGCGCTCGTCGCGACGCGCGGCGCCTCGGCGTCCCCCTCGTTTTCCTGCAGGCCGTAGACGAGTGCGGCACGATTCAAGGCGAACCAGACGCAGGCCGGCGCCTCCTGAACGTCCCGAACATGCACAAGACGGGGGACATCCACGGCGTCTTACCGGCACACGTCGGCATGGAGGTCCGGTTCACGGCCGTGCAGGAGGAGCTGAAGAAGAAGTTGGGGCTCGTGCAGGAGCAACGGGCCACCATCGTGTCCTTCGAGTTTCACGCAGACGACGAGCGGGACTACGAGGAGTGCGCGCCGGGCCAGCTCTTCCGCCCCCGCTTCCTACCGCAGGGAATCTGGCTGCATGTGCACGGCTTCCAGGAGTCCCCGATCTACAAGGAGGTCGCCGAGGTGCTGCTGCAGGGCACCGAGGGCGCTGACGACGACGGCGGGCCCAGGCGCGGGCGAGGAGCTTGCTCATGTTCAGGCCCAGCGAGCAGGAGATCACGTGGCAGAGCTCGGGGGCGCACACTGTGCGCCGCTCGGGATTCACGCTGACGCACGCGTCCTACCTGACCTCCACGCTGTCGCAGGGCCAGACGCTGCGCAAGGGCGTCACCATCGACTGCGCCAGGGATGAGGACGCTGGCCGCACGGGCATGTCGGACGATATGTGGTGGCTGCACCTCTACGTCATGTTCTCCCGCGCCACGCGCATGCGGAACATGCTGATCCTGCGGCCGCCCGCGCGAGAGTTCCTGGAGCGCGGGCCGCCGGCGTCACTGCGGAAGGCGCTCCAGGAGTTCGACGAGAGAGCGGTGGACTCCAGGGCTGAAGCGGAGCAGCTCGCGGCAGAGCTGGGCTTCGTGCTGCCGCCCGCCTGAGCGCCGCGGCGCGCGCGAGGAGGCCCGCGGGGTTGTCCCAACGGCCTGGCCCGCGGGGTTGTCCCGACGGCCTGCCCTCGCGCTCCGGCGGCCCGCGGGAGTGCCCCGCAGGCATGGCTGGCCCGAAGGGTTGACCCGACGGCTTCGCGATCTGGCCGTCGGCAAACGCGCGCGTTCTGACCGAGGCGGCGACGGCGCCGAGGAAAATCGACTTGCTTCCCCCGACCGGGGGGAAAGGGACGTGCACGTGGAAAAGAGGCAGGAGGAGGATGAGGACGGAAGGGGTATGGGGAGGGCGATGATGAGGAGGAGGTGGAGAAGGAGGAGGAGGAGGAGGAGGAGGAGAAGGAGGGGGGGGGAAATAGAAGAAGAGGAAAAGATGGCAGAGGAGAGGGCGATACGAGGGTGTTTGCCATGGCCGGGAGGAAAGGGATAAGGGAAAGCTAAACAGATTATCATGCGGGGTCCTTCCGTCGGAGTAATTCCCCCGCTAACTGGCTGCCAGAGTGCAAGAATAATACAAAAGACCGCCCTCTGTCGGAACTTAAATCCTCCTCCTGGCCAGCTGCCGTCAGCGGCCCACGCACATAAACGACAGGTGCGAGGGGACGTAGGTGAACTGTCGGTTGTGCGACAGGTCCGCGGCGGAGCGCAGGACGCTGGACCACTGACCGTCTCCGACGACCTGTGGGCCGCAGCCCAGGAGCCCAAACGCAGGGGTGGAGCAGCGAGGAGGGGGTTAGTTCAGCAGGAGGAGGAGGAGGACGACGAGAAGGAGCAGGAGAGGGAGCAGGGGAGTACCGAGGACGAGGACGACGAGAAGGACTGGGACTGGGAAAGGGAGGAAGAGCAAGGGTCATGGCAAGGGTGAGGGCGGTAAGGGGGGAAGGAGGCATGAGAAGGGGAGGGAGAAGGAGAGCGAGGAGGACGAGGAGAATAAGGACGGGCACCAGCAGCAAAGGGGGGTAGGATGAGGAGCAGCAGCAGCAGCAGCAGCAGCAGCAACAAACCAATGAGGAGGCACGGACCCTGTCACGGGCAAGCACGGAGCCAACAGCATCACCCACCAAGGCCACGCTAATGGCGATGTTGGTGAATGGCGATGTCGGGAATATAAGTGTTGCGACGCCGAACTCGGGCAACACGAGTTGTAGGAATACACGAACAAGCCTTTCCTACAATTGGGCTGGAAATGAACCCCACCCCTACAACACCGAAGCCGACATCGCCGTTACCTATATCGCCGTTTGCGTGTCTACGGACCCAACTGTGCCCGATCCAATGGGCGAAAGGCTGCAGAGCCCAGGTGAACCAAGACACAGCCCGGTCTCCGTCCTTCCACCGTGAGAGAAATGTCTGATGAGAACAGACGCACAAGAAGATTATCGTTGGACTGGCAATCCACTTGGCCTCCGTGCGGATGGTATTCGAGATGGATCGGTCAGCATGTCGTCAATACCCAACTGCAGAATCCTGGCGCTCATCTTGCAGAATTCGTGCTTCCACCGACCCTTTCCCGTCGTTTTCTTTCGCTGTTGGTGGCGCGTGGTTGCGCGCGATCGCTCAAAAGCAGGGGGGCTCGCCACCCGCGCCCGCCCGCCCCACAGGGCGGGACGGGAGTGCACACCGCCTGGAGGGCATCGGGGCGCCCCTCTCCCTCCTCTGGAGGGTGCTCAATGAGCATTGTGAGAGAGACAACCGCCGTGTCGGGAGGATGGGGTCTGGGAAGATACAGGGCACGACTTTGTAATAAGCCCTGTCAGCATACGAGAAAACAGGGATGACCTGATCATGTTCCTCGAACGCCCAGTCTCCCAACCCGAAACATGTCCTTCTGGCATTGGGCTACAGCATTTTCCTTGGCTAGCTCCTGTGCCTGCACATGGGCGCATGAGGTACTGCGCGCGCGCTCTACACCAAGGGTGCAGCGCTGCTGGCTCTGGACAAGTCAAGAGTTCGGGTTACAGTTGCTTCTCGTCTTTCGTGTCAAAATTCTGGACGCGGTGGGCACGAAAAGCATGATCGCTCTCTCAGCAAGAGGACTGCCAAGCAGAATGCTCAGTCCAGGGCTGCCCCAGCTGCTGACCAACCAACGCCGAAGGACGCCCAGGACGCCCGCAAGGGCAAGGGCGCGACGGTGACGACATTCCCTCTCTGCGGCAGCTGGCGCCCAATGTGACCCCAGACGTGGAGCTGCGGACCATCGTGCAGGCGCGCGTGAGCCCGATCCGCGGCGGATGCAGTGAAGCGCCCCGCGGGAGGACGCGGATCACAGATGCGGATCACAAGCACTCGCAGGCGTACCCCAGGGTGATGAGGTTCGAGGATAGCGTACATGTGGCCCAGGAGCGTGGGCGTGCTGCGGGAGGGAGGAGAAGGGAGGGAGGGAGGGGGGGGGAGGAGAGGATGGAGGAAAGGAGGCGGCAGAGGAACGAGGAGGGATGGAGGAGGGTAGAGAGGAGGGAGGATGGATGGCAGGCGGGGCTCGGGGTTGTGCACGGGCAGCCCCCCCCCGAGGCACCGCCTCCTTCGGTAGAGGCCTCCTAGATGGGGTCGGAGTAGATGGAGATGGAGTCGGAGGATCGCGCCGCATCGCCGATACATCGGCGATGCATCGGCGATGCATCGGCGATGCACCTGCGATGCATCTTCGACGTCGGCGATATCGTCGACGTCGGCGATGCATCGGCGACGTCGACGTGAAGCAAATCGGGCTCCGCATCGAGCCGCATCGCCGATGCATCGGCGATGCGGCGGGATCCTCCGACCCCATCTACCACGACCCCATCTAGGGGGCCTAGATTCGGCGCCCCCATTGGGCTCCGCGCACCAGGGCCAGGGCGTTGAGACCGCCGTGTGCAACTCTTGATGGGCCAATGTTCCACCACCACCACCACCTCCATACGTTGGAGGGGGAGAGGGTCCTCCTCCCCCTCTTCTTCTTCCTCCTCCTCCTCCTCCTCCTCCACCTCCTTCCTCCCTCCAACTTATGGTGGTGGTGGTGGACAACAGGCCCATCAACTCTGGCGAGGGATCTCTTTCTTGAGTCGGCCGCGCCGGCGAGCGCGGGCGCGTCGACGTGCGGAGCCGCCAGGCCGCGCCGCGCCGGGGCGGGCGGCACAGCAGAGGACGGCCGCGGAGGCGGGGCGGAGGGGGAGGGGCCCAGCCGCCGAGAATCGACGGCGAGGACGGGCCCGCTCGGAGGGGGGAGCAGGGAGGAGACCGACAGCGCTGCTCCCCGGACCTCTTCGGGCGCGCCTTCCGACGGGGATTCGGCAGCGAATCCCGCCGTGACGGCGAGGGAGGGGCATAGCGGCATCGGCACCCGGCCCTCTCTCGCTCGGGGTTGCGGCCGGGCGGGCCTAAATTACCCATACCCTCGACGCCGTGATTTCTCGCGACGTTGGCCCCTGGAGATTTCTCGACCCACTTCCCGGGACCAGCACTGTTGCTTTCTGACGGTCGGGGCCCCGGGAGAGCCCCGGGCCCCGAGAGGCCGAAAACGGCCAAAAACATCCCGTCGAGATGATGTTACGACGCCGTGGTATCTGGGTGCGTACCTCGTGAGACTGCCTGTGCGCCTATGGGATCTCAGCACTGCAGAAAAAATGCAGCGTTGCGACAACCACAGGAGCCCCAGACCCCATCCATCTTCCTGCTCCATTTTTCGAGCAGGATCGGTCCGTGCAGGTGCCTAGTCCCGAAAATGTGCGACAATACCCGCCTCGGAACAAAATGCGTCGCCAGAGTCTCAAAGAGGGGCGGGCAAAAAGACGCAACTAGACACCCGACGCTCCAAATTTTTCGGTGCGTGGATCCCTGGGGGTCTGGACAACAGCCCTTCAGGCCAGCTTTTGATCCTGAACCCTGTTCCGACGGTCCTGGGGCCCCTTGAGGACCCTCGGAAACCGAACACGAACCCAAACCGGCCGCGCCAAAGTGTGGGACCTCGGATCTATTGGGAGGCGGCGGGGCCGCCACGGCCTGCACCTCGGGCGCGGCGCCGTACCTGGCAGCGCAGGCCTCCGGAGCGGGGGGTGGGGCGCGCCGGGCGGGCTTGGCAAGGCTCGCGACGCTGGGCGGGGAGGGAGGGAGGGAGGAAGGGAGCAAGGGAGGGAGGGGGGTGGGGGGGCCCTCCTTGGAGAGGGACCGCACTGGGCATCGCAGCCGCGGCGATCTAAAATCGGCCCACGCTGCATGCTTTTAGGCTTGCGGGCGCAAGGGAAATACATGACGATGGAGGCAGGGGAGGCGGAGGAGGAGGCAGAGGAGGGAGAGGAGGCAGCGGTGGCATTAAGGAAGCTGGTCCTGAAGGAAGCGGGTCTCATATCCCCGATCCTCTCCCCTACACCCTCGCCAAATATGAAAATTACACGCCGTTCAAAATCGAAGCGCTCGATCGTCCGGGCACATGTCAGAAAATGCGTCCTTCAATGCTGTGAGGGCACTGCCAGATTTCCGACGCCCCTGTGTCTGGGCCAAATACCTCGTGCCAGCACCGAAGTAGCGCCGACCACGCGAGCACCGAAAACAAGCACCGTCAGTCAGTTGTTAGCGAGTCTTGTAGGAGCACCTCTTCATCCCGAGCCGATTCTGGACGGCCTCGGGGGGCTCGGGGAAGGCCCCGTAGGAGCCCGAGGGCGGCGACTGTGGTCGGCGGTTCAAACATCGGGCCCCGCAGAACCCAGACCCCCTCGAGTCATGAAACAATAACGGTTTTCGCTGTGTTCTGCCTCTGGGGGCCCTTACCAAGCCTCCGGGCCGTCAAAAAACGACGGAGGATGAAAAACCGGGGAATTGTTCGAGACCTCTGGGGGACACGGTTATGAAAAAATCATCACGTCGGGGATCTGGGGACTGGACTCTGGTCTGAACGTGAACTGGTCGAGGCCCCCCGTCTATAGGATCCCCTCGGGGCCACATCTGTGAACCGGAATGCATGGCGATGCCCCCAGGCCGCGACAAGCCTCAGGGCCTTGGTTCCCTCAGGTCCCCTTCGCAGACATCCTGCCATACAATGTTTTCCCGAACAGAGCTGGGAACATCCCAGTGCTTGGTGGACACACTGTTCTGATGACTTGCAAACAGATGCGTTCACGCTGAAGCTTACGTCTGCAGTGACTCACCGCCAAATGACGAGAGACACATCGCCCAGCTCTTCAAACGGCCTGAGAAAGGCTCAGCACCAAACCTCACACTAGAAGCCCTCAAGCGACGAAGCAGCAGACGCCCGCGCAGCACGAGCACCCCAGCTGCACCAAGGGCCCGGGCCGACACGGCCTCGGCCTCGCGAGGAGGCGTGCTGGAATCTCGAACGACTCGGCCAGCAAAGGCAGGCTTCTGCCAGCTGCAGCGCACGACAAATCTGGCAAGTATCTTTGTGCGTGCGCTCGTAATTAGGCGCTCATGCAGCAGAACAAGCGGTCGGGTGTCGACATCGATCACTGAGGAAATGGTGCAACACCTGCCAGTGGAGCCATCGGCGACCCTCCAGAATAGACATACTTGTTTGTACGATCCCCGTGCCTCCTTGAATCATAGCGGCATGCCCTCCTGCTTCAACTGGCGGATCCAAGCCTCCACGCGACCCTCGGTCAAATCGATCTGATTCTCCTGGTCCAACGGAAGCCCCAAGAACTTGCCGTCTACCTCGCTCTTGGACTCGGCGTGCTGGTATGATGAGGCGTCCACATATCCAATCATCTTGGCACCCGCCGCGCTGAATGCTGAATGGATCTCCTCGATAGCATCACAGAAATTGGAACTCCACTCGAATGAGTCTCCGCAGCCGAACACTGCCACCATCTTCCCACCCATCTGCAGATCACGAATCTCAGCCAAGTGGCCATCCAGGCTGGTACCAGACCGCTTCTCGTGAGCCCCCGTGTTCCACGTCGGCGCCCCAACGATCAAACCGTCGTACGTGTTCAGGTCCCCAAGGACGGCCGTATCGCCCAACTCGACCGGCACGACGCCTATCATCTCACCGACCAGCTCGGCCACCTCCTGCGTGTTGCCAGTCCGGGTGCAGAAGAAAACCCCGATCGCGCGCATGCAGGGGCGCCTGCCACGATTTCCGTGGAGAGCCCTCGCGCTCGCCATTTCTAACAGCCCGGTCGCTCCTGCTGTGCGAACGGAAACGGCCACCCCGCTGGAAGATGTTGCCGGCACTGCGAATAACGGAAGCCCAGGCTGAGCCACCAAGAAAGGGATGAGAGTGAGAGCGGCCCTGGCTAAAAGAAGCGCAGGGCGTGCCACACCTCTGGTGCGGCAGTCACCAATCATGGGGCCGCATGGACGAGAGTAGCAAATGGGACGTGGAGTGCAAGACGCCTTGGAACGGAGACGTACGCACAGCACTGCAAGCACAAACGACTTGAGCCAAAATGACTACGGCATCCTGCCGTATAATGTTCAGTCCGTGACACCCACAACACTCCCGACCCCTTCCCAAGGGGTAATTTTGCGACCCGGATCCGTACTTGATGGTCCCGGGGCCCAGCGGGCCTCGGAGGCCCAAACCGATGACCAAAAACAACTGACTGAATACAGGATAACCCTGAACGGTCTCTAGCATCCCCCCCAAGTACGGGGTACCTAATCATGTTATCGGCGGCCTTATTGAAGGACTGGGATCCCACAAATCGGGGGTGACCATATACTTTTTTCCGCGGCACACGCCGTGCAACAACAACAACAACAGCAGCAGCAAACACAACAACAACAATCATTTAAAAACTGTTCGCCCTTATATGCTCGAGTGTCCAATAAAGCGTATTTCCCAAACCGTCGATACCCGCCCTCTTCGTCTTCGATCGAACCCCTTTTGGGGGGTATACCTTTTTTCCCTGCAGGCCGGACCCCGGCAAGCGGCAGGGCGGCCGCGGACCGTCGGCCTGGCCAGCGGCAGCGCTGATCGGCGGGGCGGCCGCGGACCGTCGACCCGACCCCAAGAGGGACGGACAGGGGACCGACCACGACGACGACGACGACGACGAACGACGACGACGGCGACGACGACGCGACGAAGCGAGAGCGAGAGAGAACGACAGCAGGGCCACGAAGGGCACGAAGTAGGCCACGAAGGGCGACAGCGGGGACACGAAGGGAATGCGTATGGGGCCGCGAAGAATGCGAACGAGCGGGGGCCACGAAGTGCTGATAATGCGGGGCCACAGAAGGCAACGATGGGGCCACTGAGGGTAGCAACTGGGCCACGTAGGACAATGAGGGGGACACAAATGGCGACAGTGGGGCCACGAAGGGAATGCACATGGGGCCACAACGGGCGCGACTCCTGTGTGCCTCGGTGTCGGGAGCGCGACGCTTGGGCAAATTGGAGGAAATTCCATCGCAAGGCTATTCTTCAGTAAGTTGCAAGCAAGTCTCCAGCGAAAGCGCGACTTCAGAGTTCCGGGAGAGCGATTCCTGAATAAATGGTAAAGAAGTCCCAAGCGAGAGCGCGATTCCTGAATAAAATGCGAGGAAGTCTCGGGCGGGAGCGGGCGTCCTGCCTAAATTGTGAGGAAGTCTCAGGCGGGAGCCGTTGTTGTTGTATCCCGGGGGCCAGGGGGCAAGTTTGAGCAGGAAGACTTTCCCTGTCAAAAACAGGGTGCGAGCGTAATGAGAAAAAACAGTATGCACCGGTGGGGGGGATCAGCAATAATTATTCTTCAGAAATGAGAAGTAAACAACAACAACAACAACATCAACAACATCAACAACATCAACAACATCAAAAACATCATCAACAACAACAGCATCACCGACAACAACAGCAACAACAACAACCTCAACAACAACAATAACAACAATAACAACAATAACAACAACAGCAACAACAACAGCAACATCAACAGCAACATAAACAGCAGCAACAACAGCAACAACAGCAGCAGCAACAGAAACAGCAACAGCAACAGGAACAGCAACAGCAACAGCAACAACAACATGAACACCAACACCAAGACCAACACCAACACCAACACCAACACCAACAACAACACCAACACCAGCACCATCCCCAACCCCAACACCAAAAACAACAACAACAACAACAACAACAACACAAACAACAACAACAACAACAACAACGACAACAACAACAACAACGACAACAACAACAATAACGACGACAACAACAACAACAACAACAATCATTTAAGACTGGGGACACTCCGTTCTCACCAGTGCCAGGGTTTTCATAGGAGGCGGGCAATACCCCCACTTTGTGGGGGGGCCGGTTCAAGCTCTACCAAATTTCCATACGACTCTTCGCCACCACCCACACCCAGCTTCCCGCCCTATGACGTTCGGACACTTCACTTCGTGGCATGCGGACGACCGTGGCTACTATTCAGGGCCCCGCGGCCGACGACGACGGCGTGCGCGCGCGAAGAAAAAACGAATGTGTCCCGCATGGTATTATTTGACAGGGATGATGGCCCTGGCAGGTGCGCAACCGTTGTCGCAGAAGTTCGAAAAAGTTGCTCGCAAAAGCCCGTTTGACAGAAATGTTTAAAAAGTGTTGGGTTTCCTACGAATCCGCAAGAGCGCGCGGGATGAGATTTTGACATTTTTTTGTTGAAAAACCATTGGTTTTTTGATGTTTTTATGTTAAAATCGCTCCGAACACTAAGCTTTTGGAAGGATTTCGTCTTGCGCGCGCGAATGTCCACTTTACCTTATTTTTTGCAAGGGATTCTTGAAATTTGATTATATTAGAACAAGAAATGTCATTTTATAGTGTTTTTTGCAAGGGAAAGCGGATTACAACAAAACAACCGGATCTGATCACATCGTTTTACCTGAGGCTTCCTCACGAAAATGATGAAAATGTAGCTGCGGCCTAGGCGGCGCAGGGGGGCCGTGCACCAGGGGCCCCAACCCAACATAATTTATTTCTTAAGAGAAAATTAATGTTCAACACCAACCAACAACAAACAACAACAACCAACACCAACAACAACAAACAACACCAACAACAACAAACCGAGGAGGAGGAAGGAGGAGGAGGAAGTTTCAGGACCAATCCTACGCACCGCCGAGAGAAACGGGAGGGTTGGATCAAGACGGAAGACCTCGAGCGGTTTTCCTCTGATGGGGGGCCACATGCAAACCCGACCCCTACCCCCCTGGATTTCTCTGAGGGGGAGGGTGGGGTTCACTTTGCTCGGGAGGTCCCGATCGAAGGGAACCCCACCCTGCCCCTCGGAAATATCGTGGGGGGGGGTTTTAGGGGTTCGGCTTGCATTTGCCCCTTATCGGAGGACATCTGTGCCCGGTCGGGAGGTCGCAAGCAGGAGGAGGAGGAAGGAGGAGGAGGAGGAGAAGACGAGGAGAGGGAGGAGGAGGAGGAGGAGGAGGAGGAGAAGAGAGGAGGAGGAGGAGGAGGAGGAAGAGGAGGAGGGACGAGGTCTTGGGACCAGTCCGATCCACCGCCGAGAGAAACGGGGGGGGCTGGACCCAAACCGAAGACCTCCAGCGGTCATCCTCGGAGATGTCCGTGCCCGGGCCGGGGGTCGCCACAGCAGAAGCCCCGGGCCTCTCCCCGCGTGCGTCCCGAGGCAGTCTCGGGGCGGCTGCCCGCATGGCCACGGGCAGCCTCCGGGAGGCTCCGGCAGCACGGAGGAGCGCTCGGCCCTGAGACCTCGTCGGGGCGCTCCGGCAGCACGGAGGCGCGCTCCGGCAGCACGGAGGCGCGGGGTCCCCCTGCCTGCCCCAGACCCCCCTCGAGCCATGAAGCAAAATCACGGCTGGAGGCTGGAGGCTTCCGCCATCTTCGGCATCGCGTGGCGAGTGGGCGTATCTTTCTTCGTGCGCGCGGAATGAGCGCGCCCGGCTCCCGCGCAGTGTTCTCTTCGCAAGGCTCTCACGTCTGCGCTCCCGCGATCGGCCCGTGAACCCCGAGAGGGGATGCAGAACTGCGAGGCCCGGGGGGCGCTTCCGCGCGCCACCTGTGGGCAGTGGGCAGCGGCAGCCCCGGAGAGATCAGCGGTGATGACGCTGTGCCGTGGGCTGCGTCGTGCTCCTCTGCGCTGTGCCGCGCCGCGCTTTGACGTGCCAGGGTGCGCGCCGCGCAGTGTATTTGCGTAGTGTACTTGCGTGGTGTACTTGCGTCGGGGGCCTCCCATGCCGTCCTGTTGGCCCTTGCGAATCGACGCCGACACTAATCGACGCTAGATCGGCGCCGATCGACGCTAATCGACTCCAACTCGACGCCAAATCGGGGCTATCTTATCGACAACCATACGCTGACCGACGCTATTATATTCTGAGGACGGGATTGCGGGGGTATATCAGATCCCCGTGACTTGCTACCGAACGGGCCAACCTGGCGAAACCGCCTGGCGCGAAAGCATTGCAACGCCTGGATCTTAAGGGAACTCTGGGCTTCCCTTTTGCTGGCGATCGCCAGCCTCCCCAACAGGGCTGCGCGCCGCTGGGCCTCCAGGACCCAAACATCTGCCGTCTCGATTTGTTCGTGACGTGGGCCCCCGACCTCTCGACCACCTCCCTGGGACCGGCTCTTCATCCCGAACCGTGTTTTGACGGCCCCGAGGCCCGAACAGAGCCCCGAGAGGCAGAAAGCGAGGACGAAAACCTCCGCCTCGACTTTCCCGAGACGCCCGAGGTCTGGGGATCGGAACTTCCCTCGTGGCGTTCCCCACGGTCGGGCGCGCTCTAACGTGGATTAGGGATACGTGGATCTGGTGTGCGGTTGACAGATCCATGGATCGGGGAAGGTACCTCAGAGAAACGGCGCCAGTGCCGCCCGAATTGGTGGCGAAGCGCGCCGATTCGGTATGGAGACGGGACGCGTCGCCCCGAAGACACCGAAAATCTTTCAGAAGGTCGGAGACATTCTGAGAAGCCATGCCGCCTTTTGAGAAGGC